AAAGAAAAACAAAAGGCTTTGCACCTCTCCTAGTATGTTTCAATTTCCTCTCTTATTATTATTTAATCATACTTTCGATTATTTTACTTTCTCGATTTTATGTTTTCGATTCCTTCTAACTAATTTATAAATTATTACAGAAAAAATCCAAATCGAAAACAACATCTTTGATCCTTACTCCAACTCCATCTGTATAGGTAATAATAATCTTTATTAGACAATTATAATCTTTAATTATATCAAAACTAAAATATTTCATATCACTTTAGATTTCTGCACCATGTACCACTGACATTCCTCTCACAACTCTCACAAAATCAAAAAGAAAATCTAGGTCGAAATTCATATAACTTCCATAAAAACTCTCAAACTCATTTTTTACACACAATTTGATGTTTACCAATTATCTCGATTTCTATAAAAAGAGACTTCAACCAATATCTCGAGCAATCTAGAATCTATAGTTGAAGTCTCCATCAAACCACCACGTTCAATTTCTCTAACACAAGGTATAATATTTACTATTTCTTCCAGTCAATTTTCTATTTTTCAATACTAACTCGGTTACTTAAAGTAAAATAGGAAACACCCATTGTACATAGCACCCCACTCCAGCCAAAAGCCAACTCATTCTTGTCAATATTCAACCTGAGCCAATTATTCCAAGTATTTATTCAATTTCCTTTGTCCTTCAATGCTTTTTTCCAATCATAATAAAATGTCTTAACTTGTTATAATTCTCACTTATGCCACTATAGAATCTCTTGATTCTGCAGCTCCATCTACATTGGTACCAACTCCCCAAATTGTTGATCTTCCTTTGGTGGGTCCTTCATCTAGAGCTTATACATAAAACCATAATATATTCATGGACGAAATCGAAAATGACCCATTCAACATCTTAGATCTTATGACAACACATGGGGAGGTATTTGAGACTTATCGTGTTATGTGTAGGGATGACAATTAAACCCGTCCCCGTGGGGACCGACCCGTCCCCGCCCCGAGTTTGACGGGGAAAACCCGAGTTGACCGGGGACGGGGCGGGTTCGGGTTTTCCCCGCTTTAAAAAGTCGGGGGCAGGGGCGGGGGCGGGGATGGGTAATGCAATCTCCACCCCGACCCCGACCCCTTCCCCGCCCCGACTTTATATTTAAATTTAAATTTTAAAATATTAATATTTTAAAAGTATTTTCTTTTCTTTTTCTATTACATATAAGGTCATTTTTTTATATTTCACCAATTTTTATTTTTCTTCTACCTATTTTTTAATTTTTTTGTCTTTTTTAATCTTTTATATCAATTAATTTATTACATTATTCTCTCTTTTACCTTTCAGCTTTTTCACATTTTCTTAATCTCTCCCATCAATTTGTTTTTTTTTCAATCTTTTCAATCAATTTGATGAACACAAAGTTAATTTTTTTATTCTTTATCTTTTTCTAAATATTTTACATAAATCTTAGTAGTAAATAATATTATTTTATTTATAATTTATATTTATTAGGTTTTATTATGTCATTTTTTTATCTTATTATTCTTATTTATCATATATCAACTTTTATCTTAAACCCTAAACCCTAAACCCTAAACCTCCCTCACCTCGAACAATTTCACTTTCATGTCCCACATTTTGGCTTTCATTAGTATTTATTACAACACTAGGTATTACCATAGAGTTTGGTATTGAAGTTTTTGAGTTTTGATTTGTCATTATAACTTTACCACTTCTTAATATCATGCACTCTATAGATAAAGTTGTCCCACCAGGCATGCCAATTTGTTTATAGTGTAAATAATTCATCTGTTCCATATAATTATTCAGTTTACGAGAAGAATTACTTAAATACTATGTGAGTTCTTAATTTCATTCAAAATTTAGTACATAATAGGTTTCAATTAAAGATTATTTGTATTCAATTTTTATGTTTAATATAATTTGAAACATTTAAAATAAATTTGTTAGAATAGTAAAGAAATTGTAAAAGTAAATTACTTAAAAGTAAATGTGCAACAAATTAAATGGAAGAAAGATAAATCTAACCCATTACTAAGAATAAAATAGAAATTGATAGAGAAAATCAATTAAGTGGCGATCCAAAATGTAAAGAACTTAATTGAAAATGCTTGTTCCCAATTTGTAGCGTTTTTCGAATGTAAGTTGTATAATTTGATAATCACCCATGGTTACCTTTATTTTATCCTATATATATTATTTTTTGTAACCGCCAAGTTGTCATAAAAATAATAAAAAAAATTATAAATTAGAATCTTCGAATGATTATTTTCTTGTAATTGTTTATCTTCACTCCACCTTGTAAATACATATTTATTTGTAACTGTTCATTCCAAGGAACTGTATTATAAGCGTCTTTATAAGTCTCTCGATATACCACTTGAAGATCTTCCAATATAGCTTCCTCTCGATATATTGTGTCTTTATACTCCGATGTTCTTCACTTTTTAATTCCTCGATTCCTAATTTGTTGATGCTCTGATCTCTTTGAAAACTCATACTGATTATTCTTCTACTTCCATGATATGTCTTTCTCGATTACTATATTTATTTCTTCTAACTATCAAATATCTCCTTTTTCGATTCATTCTCTCGATCTATTTGTAGATTTTTAAACTTAACAGTATCATAATAGATAGAGATACATAACAGTGTTACAGTCTCAAGAGGTTGGGTGGGATACAAACCAATTAGTATATTGCATTCAACATATAGCTTCAAACTTCAACAAAAAAATTCAACAATATCCAATTAAAGACAAACAAATTAATATGGGTAAATATTTACTTTACTTTTTATTTTCTTCATTAATAATTTTTATTCAATAACTTTTTGGTTTATTTTATTTTTTCAGCATATGAGATGAAGCAACCATAACTTCTAGTTAAACTATCTACTATAAGATTAGAGTTTCGATAAATTGCTTCTTGGTTGGATCAAATTCTACTAGAAAAATGGACACAAGCATATGATGGAGGAAAAAAATATGGACATATGACCACCAATTTAGTAGAGTGCATGAACTCTGTTCTAAAAGGAGCCCGTACCTTGCCAATATGTGCCCTAGTCAAAACCACCTTTGAAAGAATAAAATTGTGGTTTGTCAAACATGGCATGAAAGCAGAGGTCATGTTACGAGCAGGACATGAGGACCCAAAAGAGATTTCTGTCTTCCTCTAAGAAGGCCAACAACTGGCTGACATGTGTCATATATAAAGATATATTAGGGAAAATAGTGAGTTTGAAGTTTAAGAATTGTCAAATGCACAACATGGTGGATGAGCACAAAGATATACCATCAAATTGCATGACTGGTGGTGTGATTGTGGAGAGTTTCAAACTCTCTGACTACCTTGCTCACATGTTATAACTATATGTGATCCACATGTCATTTGCAGATTGATACATATGTTGATCCACTATACAAATTAGATCGAATTTTCAAAGCTTATAGACATCAATTTCATCTAGTACAAAATGAAGATGATTGGTATGCTTATATTGGTCCAAATTTTATTCCCGACCCAACTATGGGGCGTGAACAATCACGATGACCTACCATGACACTCACCCACAACAAAATGAATCGATCAAATCCAAATAAGCGGAAAAAAAATGCTCATTTATCAAACTGAAGTTATAATCATAATAATTATCTGCATAAACAATGATAATATAATACATTTCACTTTTGATATTAATAGATTTTATCTTTTTAGTTATTGTTATAATTTCGCTTTTTTATTTATTTATAAATTTATAAGTTTATAAAAAAAATATTATAATATTATCAAAATATATAATATTATAAATATATAAAAAAGATAAAAATGTATAATATTATTCTATAGCTAAAATAAATAAATAAAAATAAAAATATAAATAATAATGATTTAAAAAAATAAAAAAAATTTACTTAATTCGTGTTATTATGCACGACTTTTATTAAAAAATTAATAAAGTCATCAATCTAACATGACTTGCTTTTTTTTTTAACTCCATCCAAAATCGTATTAGGAAACACAATTTTGTCACAATTAATTCGTTTCACATGAGACTACTTACCCATTTTGGTAAAATTTTACCCATTTCTATAAATTTCAATTAAAATTACACCCAACAAATAAATAAAAAACTAAGTCAATCTTTTAATCTAGAAAAATCTTTCACATTTTTTAATAGGGGATTTGAGAGAATAAAAAAAATGAAAAAAAATTAAATAGAAAATAAAATTGTTTGAATTAAATAAATTAAAAAAATATATTTTAATTAATATTAATAATTTTATTATTATTATTTATAAAAAAAATACCAACTTTGAGTGTTCCGTTACTTTGAGTGTTCCCTTACTATGTATCACTTTTATAATCGTTCAATAAAAAAGTGTTCAATTTTGAACAGAAAATAGAAGAACCAACAACTTTCTCTTCTTTTTCCTATTATGTTTTGTAATATATTTGTAATATATATAATTTTTCATGCAAAATAGTTTAGATAAGCTTATGCAAGCGAACACCTTTCACACAATATTTTGAAATCTTTCTTTCACTACACTAGTTGGACAGATGCAATGTGATATTATAAGCCATAATTTTAATTAATAAAAGTTTTGCTTGGATATAAAAATTAAGAACTTCCACCAGAATTTGACACAACATAATGAAACAAGCTAATTTGACAATTTAAGACACATACAATAAGGTATTAAAATATGTCATTTCTTAGGAAACTAAGGTGGAGGTGTCTCCCAAGTCCAACTCAGTGATGCAGTTAAAATGAAGATAGTAAACCTCCATCCCTCATCCCTACATAAAAAGGGTGGAGATAAAGGATATCATACACAATTACGGACTACAGTTCATAGATACAGTGTCCCAGTGTGATGGTAATTGTAGTACTACATTCCACCTTCCAACTATTTGAAGAGGAACCTTTTGCTATTACTTATGAACTCCATTCCATCATTTATAATAATTGAAAGTTTCTATTTCCATTGCTTAGGTACTGTTTTAATCTTGAAGAGATTATACATTGGTGCAGTGTCAATGAAAAGTTTTCTCCCATCCCTTGAAGTGGATTCATATTTCCATGCGGGTCCAATAAGCCATGATGCAGCAACTCCACCAACCAAGCCTCCTAACTGAAATATAACATGTTAAAAGGAAGTGCCAGCAATGGTAAAGAAAATAGGCACAGTTCAAGATTTTTTTTATTATTAAAATTGAACATTACCAGTGCCTACTTAAAAAAACATGGACTTTTAATATTATTTATATGCATAGTTTTAGTAGGGGTTTCTGTATGCAGTTAACAATCCAAAAATTTAGAGTCATTAGTTGTCATGTCAAGAAGGTTTTCGAAAGTAAATGGAGTATCAAGCATGAAATACCCTAAGTGCAAGAAATCTGAAGGCAATAAAACATAACTACTGAAACACTAGTTAAGTTGCAAAAAGATTTTTTCTAAAGTCATGCTTGAAAAAAAATCAGAAAATGTGAGATACAGAGCAAATATTATTATACTTACATGTCCCCAATTGTCAATCCCAGTGGACATTAGCCCAATAACCTGCATGAGAAATGCTTGTCATCATTATCATTAGAATACAGAGTGGCGATCTACGTTTAAAGCAGAAAAAGTTCCCTACATAACATTGCATGAAACAACAACACTCTTCACCACCACACATTGCCTGACAAGGCATATAAAACACTAATATACAAGCAGATTTATACATAACTTTTGCAAAAACTCTGTTTCTTCCTGGCTAATTAAGATCACTTATTAATGAAAAAAAAGTAACAATTATCAGAATCAGAAGTAATCAGAGAACCTTAACAAATGAACATGAGTAAATAAAACCTAACTGATAAGTGATAATTCAATCCAAAGAGCTTTAGAAGAAATGGCATTATTCATCTGAGAATAGTCTAAATCTTCTACAGTTTGAACACTATAAAACTTTCAGTTCTGTTAACACAAGGGATGGAAACACATACCATATTAAGGGCAATTACTTGTGCTATGTGCAGTAAACCTTTTTTACCACCTCCCACAATATCCTTGTGCCTTACTACAAATACTGCGACTGATCCAACCTGAATCATAAAGAAAACATTAACAAAAAAGAGTAACATGTCAGTTTTCTACCTTCTCTATGTGGAAATTTTCAAACCGTATTAAGCATTTGGTAGAGATGGGTTTTGTGGAAAAGAAAAAAGAAAGATGGTTCACGGTAATGAGAATAAAGGTTGCGGAAGGCTGAAAGGGTGCTCCCTTCAGCTTCTTCAACAACCATCCCATTGGTCAAGTTGTCAACTATATATTATAGTACCCTAGCCATGTAAGGTTAAGATAGAGCAGTAGCGGACCTATATATATACGAGAGCGTACAAATACACCCCTAATTCTGTTAAAATTATCACTAAGTATTTGAAATTTTTTTATTTTTGTCGCCCCTAATCTTATATATTTGAATGCCGTTGTTCTATAGTAGACTTGTGTAGTTAAGAGTGTTCTCCTAATCTTATATTATTGAAAAGTAAATTGTCTTGACTGACTTAGGATCTTAGATTTGTTACTGAAATAGAATGAAGGTTATTGGATATAACGAAGAAGATACTATGAAGGGACGTCAACACTTAGAACTAAGCATGTAAGTTCAGTCAAATATACACATTGGATGGACTCCCTTTAAGCATCAATTTAGGTCATATATTTATATATAAGTATAGCAATAAGCACACCCATAAGACAGATGGTATGTAAAATTTAGATAAAATAATGAAAGAACTTACTAGTCCAAAAATTGCTCCTGAGGCACCCACTGCAGGCATTCTGCAGAACCAATAGCTTGTAGCAGAACCTGATTTTCTAAAAATTATGGAATTACAATACTTGGAGGTAAGCAATATCATTGGATATGGAAGAGAAAATATGAGCAGTTACTTGCAATTGCAGAGATAAAGTAAACTGCAAGAAATCTTCGAGGACCACTGAAGCTCTCCACAGTGGGACCAACTGAATTTAAGGAATAACAATTTACCTACAGAGAAATTATAGTAATTTAAGATCTCAGAAAACCAACCAGTAATAGTAAAACAAACTTCAAACAATTAATTCAAACCCAACCAAGAGGTGTCCGACGTTAGCATGCAAAAAGGAAGATGTGGCAAGTCTCCAAAGTTGTCCTTTGTCAATAAGACTATTTATCTGTGAACATGGCAGCACACAAATAAAGACTCCATAACATTTCCGACATGTATTCAGATTTTTAATGGCAAAATTACCTTCGCTCCCCAAAATAATAGCTTGCCTTGAGTTGCAAGTTGTGCAATATAAAATCTGTGCAAACAATTAATAAATATAAACCATAATGTAAATTTGCAAAAACAGTAACTTCAATTAGAAACAGAAACATAAAGAACCAAAAATGATTGTACACACAGCTAGAGTTTACAGGCTTAAGGACATATGCACACATTGAAGTCATACTCTTAATAGGCCATTCAAGGGAATACACTAATACTCACAAAACATTGGCAGCAAGGAGAATATCCGTCCATTTCCTTCCATTAAAAGGATTTTTTCCTGACATCTTGGAGTTAGACATCCCAGCATTTCCAAATCGACCTCCATGTCCTCCCCCATTAAAGAAAGAGAAACTAGTTGAACATGATGACGTCAAATCACCAGTTGACGGATTAAGATAATTCATCTCTTTGAGTTCAAGGCATCTTTGACACCACTTATCCTTCAATCTAAACACGTGACTTAAAGGAGCAAGTTTCTGTTCAGGAAAGGGGGCAAGGGAGTCAGGGAATAATAAAAAAACGTGAAAAGAATACACCTGATGGCCCAATTCATACAACAATAACTACAACAACCACCTTATCCAGTGAGGTGATATTGATTAATATACTCCACAATTTATTTGACTCAGTTAAAACCAAATTCTGACCTATGTCCAAATTTATATACACCAAAAAAAATAAAAAATAATACAAAAGGAAGATTGAGATGCCACAATGAAGGCCCCATCCACCAGAATAAAGCATGTTTTAACTGTCATGACTGTTAAAAAATCGAGTAGACATCTCAAACACCATAACCTAATTCATATTCCCATCAACAGCATTGAAAGTAGTAGAATTCAGTAACTGTTTCAACGACGCCACATGATCTTCATAATAAACGAAATTCTACAAAAAAAATTAACCTTTTTTGAACGATTTGATGCTTATGACCTCCATTTCAAACGATTCCAATGATATAACTGAGGTAAAGAAAAATAATTTGGAATTTTAACCAAACCTAACTCCCAAATTTTGCAACTAAATGGGTAATTGAAAAGGGACCTTGAAACAGGAGTGAAGAAGAACCCCAAGGCGCAGATTGTGGGTGGCGCGGCGGCGGAGAAGGTGGCCGAAGTGGAGGTAGGCGGCGGTGGCGACGAGATCAAGTGGGTGAGGAGCCACCTTGCAAACCGGGGACAAAAATGGCTGAGGCACATCCAATCCTGCCATTCTCTTCACACTTCACTTAAGACCCAATAACTTTTCCTTGTTCCAGCTCCCACTACTCAGCTATTTATCTTTCCTTGTTTTTTTTTTTTCTTCTTTTGAAATCAATAATGCTTTACTTACAATAAAGGTTTACGCTACATTTTTTTTATATGTTTACCAATAAAATAAATAAAATTTACAAGCAAACAATATCCAGCAGAAAATCAAAGCAACCTAAAATATGTGGGGTTATTATAATGTTATATGCATTAATCATCCTATCATATCACACAACATGGTAAACAATCTTATAAATTTATTATCGTACGTGCTGTGTAGTTTTTTATATGTATACGCACATATTATATAATAATGAATTTTTTTCTAACAAATTTACCAATGGCTTTTCTTGTTAAGCTTTACGGCACAGAAAAATAAAAGCATGTGGATATAGATAAGAGAGACAGTAAAGGATAAATAAAAATCAGGACACTAGTGAAGATCTCCTTTTGAAATGTAGATCTTCACCAAGAAATAATGTTTTTTCAATCACAACTTGTTGGAACATGCACCAGAAGCAGCCTTCCAGATCTTCTGTACGAATTCCATCCTTGAAATGAGGTGCTCTGCACCTTTTACCTGCTTAAAATTAACCAAGTGGAATAATTCTGATATGAAAAGCAGGTTTCAGTTCGAGAGATCTCACAGATGAAGCTATATAACGAACAATGATCGCCACCAAGGACTACCTGCAGGATCCTATCACCTTTGTCAGTCTTCAAACTTGCAACAACAAAAAATTTATATATGATCTAAAATTACGTAGCCTGGTCAATCATCTATATTTTTTTATACATACCAATTGTCTGTGTAATACACTATTAACCCTTTTACCTAAATTACATAATATGATAATGTGTCACATTGAAATTACTGCAAACATCTGATTTTGGTTCATGTAATAATTTTTGGTACGATAAACACCTATTTAGCTCTATGATGATTAAATTATTCTGCATAATCATGTGGTGAGAAATTCCAAAGACACCAAAAGTTAAGATTACAAGTGAAACATGGTTTTAGCCTAAGATTTTGGCATTACCTTGGAAATCAAAGTAAGACCGTGTCCAATCTAGGACTGAACGGATAGGCCTGAAGGAAGCCAAGTGATTCCAGATCCAGTACAAGCTGCTTGTGATATCCTCAAACGCAAACCTCAGATCGTTCTCATCGTTTTGGAAACGGTAATTATAATTAGTTGTAGCTACAGCTTGTAGCTCATAGCGACACACAGGGCAAGTGTTGTGCATGCGCAGCCAAGGGGTGATGCAGTCAGAATGGTAGAAATGCTTGCATGGCAACTCTCTGGCTTCCATGTCAAGCTCAAATTCGTCTTTGCAAATTGGACAATTGGGGTCACTAGCCAAATGGGCTTGTGTCAGCTTCACCATTGGCAATGCTGCAATGGCAGAAGATGTTGCTGGAGGTGGCCCTGGTCTATTTTGAATCATGCCATCAATGAAGTCATCTATTAGTGTGTTCTGAAAAAGGGTGTCAGTGTCATTGGGAGGAGCCAAGTTTTGTGGTGGGGAAATAGGCCTAGGTGCACGACTTGGCCTTGGAAATCGGAGTGTAATCCAAGCCTGAGGATCTAAACCATCTTCATTTTCTGTTTCCCATTGTGTGGTTGTGTCCAAATGGTTGTTGTTTTGCCTCCTTAGAGGTGGATCAAGAATTAGGGCCAAGTTATGCAGAAGTTGAGGAGCTGGTGAAGGTTCCAAGTTATTTGGCACGTTCATGAGAAGCCTAGGCCTTGAGATATCAAGCTCATAACGAAGTTGGTGGAAACAATAGGGGCATGTAGAACCATTATTGTTTGCAAAGGGAATCCTCACGGTTCTTTGGCAATATAGGCACCAGAAATAGTGAGAAGTTCTCGTTCTTCTAACCCCATTCACCACAATACGAGAACGGCCTGTTAGAGACATATATGGATTGACAAATCTGTGTTGGGATGAAAAGGTTGCTGTGTTCTAGGGAAGAGAACGAGGAACATTTTTTACCAGAAACAACGTGGAACTATTTATATGTACTATGTGGTTTTCATATGAAGGAGATAAACAAAGGTGTGCGTGATGAAAAGGAATGGCCTTGGATTGGAGCCACAAGAAAGGGATTCCTTTGCTTTTGTTGCTATTGATATCTGCTTTGGTTAATCATGTAATGTCATGCACTCATGCTTGCTTTTCTTGGTAAACTGTTTCTCCCTTCCACAAGGCAAAGGATGCTTGAACGATAATGGCAAGTTACACAGAACTTTTGGTTTCCTTCAGGGTTTGTATATATTAAACTATTAATTCTTAACACTCAGCTTTTCTTCATGGATGTCACAGTTTCAAGCCTCGATGCAAAGTAAGGAAGTATCTGATGTAACTTATTTTAGTTTTTCTCAGTGTTTTTTTTAAAGAAAAATAGTTGATCAAATAGAATTTTAGAAGGAGTTTTTAATTTTTCTCCACTCTAAATCAATCTAGGGAGGTAAGAATAAGAATATACAAATAGCTATATATATATATATATATACAACTATAACTTATGTTTGAGATATTTTTAATTTTGATGGGTTTTCTAGCAAGTACCAAAAACATTATAACATTCGAACTTTTTTTTAAAAGAATTTCATCAAGGAGTGTTAATGTATATTAAATGTTTCATGATATATACAGTGATGTTGATGTTATTAAAAGGGTAAGAGATAAATTGGATTTCCTAAAATTAAGTCAAGAATTCTCATAGCCAATAACAATCTATCGATCTTGGTGTAACAAGCAAAAATCCTCAATAAATTTCTAAATGTTAGCATTGGAACTTTTTCTTTGATCTAAATATTTTTTTCTTAAAAGTTTTTTATTAGAGACATAGGAAAGTTTTTTTTTTCTTAAAAGTTTGAGAGTCCGAGTTTTTTTTTTTCTTCTTTCTAAATTTGAGTTTAAAAAATATATATGAATTTTATTTCGTTCTGACTTCAAAGTTACTTATTCATTAAGTTGTCATTAATTAATTGTGCTCGTAAAATGTATATTACTCAATGTTTTATAATCTATATTATTAATAAAGAAAATTGGTTAGTATAATTTTGTATGTGTATTTTTTATTTTATCTTTAATATTATATAATTTTTTTATTTTAATATTTTAATAGTTTAAAAAATATATGGACAAAAAGACTATACTTTGTGTAATAATAAGGTAAAAAACTTAATGTGATTATCGATATTTGAAATTAAAATCAATAAGATTGTATTGATTTAGAACAAGTATTCAACATAAAAAAATTAGATAATTTACTACCATTTTTTTAATCTTAATTTATTTGCATAAGATTTATCCTTTGATTGTTGTTATATTATCTCTATCTTTGCATAATATTTTCCTTTTCGTGAAGGTTTTAGCTTCTAACATATATTTTTTAATTCTATAATTTTGTAAAACAAATGAAAAAAATTGTATATCTAAAGACAAAATGCAATGGTTTTTATATACAGGTATTGAAATGTAATATTTTTCTTTAAAGTGGAATTAAAAATATTGTTTTAAAAATGGAGCTAATGTTTTAAAAGCGAGAAATGAGAGGTGCAAGAAAATTTGTGGTTGTGGAGAATGATTGAGGGAAGGGGAAGGCGGCCGAGTGAAGACGAGTGAACTCAGTGGGTTTACAAATAAGAATTGGGTTTTGGATTGGGTTGTCATCTTCCTTCCTTCGTTCTTCCGTCGTCGCTTCTCTCTCGCTGCAATCAAAGTCATGAGAACAACAATTTCTTCGTAAAACTTCTTCTTCGTCAGTATTCGCTCTTCCTGTGATCTCTCTCCCTTCAATCATGCTTCCCGCACTCTCTCAATTCAAGATTAACCATGTCGGGGCTAAATCCTCCCCTAACCCTATTCCCATACTTCCCACGCTCCACCACGCGCGCTGCCCTCTTATCCTCCGATCCTCCTCATCCTCCGACCTCAGAAATATCCCCGGCCTCAAGATTACCGCCCACGTCGAAACCGACTCTAGTGCTCACTTGGAGCGGTGTTTTAACGCGCCTGTCGCTTCCCAGTCTCCCTCTATGAAGGGCGGCCAGTACGGCTCGCTCGGCGCCGTCACCTTGGAGAAATCCAAACTCGATTTATCGCAAAAGCAAACCAGGTCTAGCCCCGAGGTAACACCTCCTCCTCCTCCTCTCTATTTTTAATTACTAAATTAGGGTTTTTCTCCCAAAATTTGTTGTTCTTCTATCGCTGGATCTTTGTACCGAAGAAAGTGAACCGGTGAATATTTTAGTTGTGGCTTTTCCGTGTTTTTACAGTACAGTTAGCGGAACATACACTTTTGTTTATCAGATAGAAGAGTGTCCGCATGTGAAATAATAACGTGTCCACTGCTTGTTTATGGGTTATCAGTATAAGAGAGGAAATATCACTAGTTTATTATTTTTGTTTGGTTCTGTTTCGCTTTTTTTCTTTTTTGCCTCATTTGCCCAACAGTGTTCTTTATCATTTCCGTAGTTACTTGTGAAAAGTTTGCTTGAAGAATTTAGATATATGCTAGCGTGTTAATTGAGGACACTGAAGGTGTTGTTGACCAGTCTTGAGGCTAAACTGAGATTGGATTGAATTTTATGAATACTAACATTGTTGGCATAAAGGATTGCTAATTACCAGGGTTTTAAATCAGTCGTGGGTGTGATTTCATTGTGTTTATTGATATTGTGGTACTTGAACAAAATAATGGTGCTTAGTGCCTACTCCTGGTACAAAACACATGGCATGAACACCAAACAATGGAGTAGTAGCATGGGCTGACAGAAAGTTGCACAAACAAAGCTACAAAGGAACAAGAGGTGACTTCATGCAGAAAAGAGCTCTGATGCTGTGGAGGGGAGCTCTGGTTGAGAAGATGTATAGAGTGTGTTTTCATGATTTGGGATTTGGGGCTTAGGTGTTATGGGCTTAGGCTTTTAGAAGCCCTTAAAAGAGCAAACAAAATGTCAAAACTGGCCCGCCAAACAGAATCGCACGATTGCACAACTTGATGCCCCTCTGAGACGCATCTTCAGATTTTGAAAATTTCCAATTCAGCACTTGGATTACTCACCCAGCCATAGCGGACTCACAGAATCGTGTGCTTCTTTGAGTTGAAGCTTGATTCTGACTACCATAGAGCCTAGAACAATGTGGCATGACTCAGTAGCTACCCCAATTGAATTATTTACTCCCACACATTATTAACAGTAAATTTATCATAAGCTTGTACAAACTCCCACGAAAAACTGCATCAACAATAGGCTTGTTTCTTGATTCTTAGCTAAATTTTGAGTTTCCATCTTTTGTTCCAAGCCCCTCCCTTTGCATCTCCGATTAATATTTAAGTTTTAGGTGCATAATCTTCTGACAATAAATTATAGAGAAAGAAAATGTCTCCGTCCATTCTTTCTTCTACATTATCCTCTCAAGTTATTAACTTGCAATGTGAGTCTATACAGGACTAGACTAGTCATGGGTGAGATGTTATGGAGGATTCCTTTAAGGTATTGATTCTGAATGCATAAAATGGTGATATTTAGTTTAATCAGACTGTTTGGTTTTAATTCTATACCTAAATTTTCAGTTCTGTCTGCATGTACGGGGTGGGTGGTGACTTTGATCACAGGAGTACTTTTTTAATGTTTTCATGAGCGAGTTTAATATCTGAAAATTCAATATTATTCAAAAAAAATAATTTTAAATTAAACTGAGCTCAATGGTATTGTATAGTCCATGTAGCTGGCTTCACTTTGTGGAATAAGATTTATTGTTTAGTATTTGGAAATTCATTTTCACTCTTTTGTTTGCAGCTAGACATTGGGGGAGGTGGTGGAGATATTGGAAAGAAAATCAATCATGGTGGTGGTGATGGAGGCGATGATGATGGTGATGATGATGATTACTTTGATGACTTTGATGAAGGTGATGAGGGAGATGAGGGTGGCTTGTTTAGGAGACGGATACTTTTTGAAGAGGTTAGAAATTGTATTCATTTTATATAAGAATAGGTTTTTAACCCCCTTTATGAAACACACAAGTTTTCATTGCTTTCATTTAATGTTTCCTAAGAAATGAATCTCATTCTGTCTTTGTTGTAGCTATTTGACCGAAAGTTTGTGGATGCTGTGTTAAATGAGTGGCAAAGGACTATGATGGATTTACCTGCAGGGCTTCGGCAAGCTTATGAAATGGTGCCATAATTTTCAATGTTTTTTAACTTGTTTAGTCTGTTAAGCATAGGGCTTCATACTGACTGAAAATTTTCGTTTAGGGATTGGTTAGCTCAGCTCAAATGGTGAAATTTCTAGCAATCAATGCAAGACCAACCACCAGTAGGTTTATTTCCCGAACACTGCCTCAAACACTATCAAGGTCTTTCATTGGCAGGTAATTTCAATTGTGTCCTTGTTGTCTTGAAATATTTTATTCTAATATAAGAAAAATGGGATCTCACATGTAACCCCATATTTTTTTCTTTTGAAACCATTTGGATTTTAATTTGATTTTACTTTAGGGATTTTATTTTAGTTCAGGTAATTAGTTAGAGTTCAATTTGCAGTAGTGTTTGTGGGTCCTTATATACACAGTTCTTGTGAACCTTATGCAGTTTTGGTGCCGATTATGTTATGTTAGAGAATGAGTTTGTGAGTTGGAAGAATACTTTTGCACCTAGAAGAGTGCTCTAGGGTTTTTCTTTCCTTCGCCCCTCTTCCTTTTGGAGTATGTTTTTGTATACATTACTAACTCATATTCATCTTTTATTTTGCAGGTTGCTTGCAGATCCTGCATTCTTGTATAGGTTTGTATTGGAGGAGGTAGCAACAGTAGGTTGCTCATTGTTGTGGGAGTTAAAAAATCGGAAAGATAGGTGTGTTATGTATATTTATAATGGTTAGGAAGTTTGTCTGGTACTCTTAATGATGAATTAGAGTAACAATTGTTCACTTCAATTTGAATCTAGGATAAAGCAGGAGTGGGATCTTGCACTTATGAACGTGCTGACAGCAGCAGCATGCAATGCATTAGTTGTTTGGTCCCTTGCTCCTTGTCGATCATATGGGAACACATTTCGGTTTGATTTACAAAATACATTGCAGAAGCTTCCAAACAACATATTTGAAAAGAGCTATCCACTTAGGGAATTTGACTTGCAAAAGAGAATCCAATGCTTTTTGTTCAAGGCTGCTGAGTTGTGCATGGTTGGTTTGAGTGCTGGTGCAGTACAAGGTGCAGTGTCAAACAGTTTGGCCCGTAAAAAGGAAGGAAGGTGTGCAGGGTTGAAACCCAACCTTATTTTTGACAGCAGTCAATTTATTTAATTGTTCAAATAATTATAGAGTTTTATAAATTGTTAAAATAGTTCTAGAGTTTTAGCCACTGTTGGTCAAATTACGAGTGCTACTTATTAATTTTGTCCTTGCATATGTTGCACCTGCAGATTATCTGTGACAGTCCCAAGTGTGAGCAGTAATGCGCTTGGTTACGGTGCTTTCCTCGGAATTTACGCTAACCTTAGATATCAACTGTTATGTGGGTTTGATAGAGCAATGATGACCCATTTTGATGTTATTGGAGTTGCCCTGTTCTTCAGCACAGCATTCAGGTGGTTTTTTCTCTATCAAATAAGTTGTTCACCAATAATGTCTAAACCATTTTACCACTTTGTTTAAGCAAAAGTTACCAATAATTTTATATGTGAGAATAAGAAATTATATTAGAAGTTGTTTTTTGTAAACTTATTCCAATTTTATGCAGGGTCTTGAACGTTCAATTAGGAGAGACTTCTAAGCGTGCATGGCTTGGAGTTGAGGCAGATCCACTGGCTCTGTCGGATGACCTCTTGAAAGTGTACAACAGGACTTCTGAGAATGTAGAAAATCCGTCCTCAAAATGGTTTATATCAAAGAATGCAGTTGTTTCTGGGCTTGGGCTCCTGGGCATCAAACAAAGGAATGCCGAAGGTGCAGGTGCAGAATCTTCAGCTCCTAAAGCTCGGCGAAAAAGGATTGTTAGGAAGAAGGTTGCAGCGGGTTCTGCTTAGTCTGTTCTCAAGTCAATGTAGTCATTGTCCAATTTTGCTGTTTGCTACTTCTGGAGTATCCTTGGCGATTCACTGGCTGCTCCACGCTAAGTCTGGGGGTAATTAGTGGACCAACATTTTTCTATTACATTAACAGAGATTTGAGGAGGGTTTCGTTTCTAAATTTTGTTAGGAATTCTTATATTCTTCCTTTGTGTTTTACTATCTGATTCTGTACTATATATTTTGAATCTATTAAAAAAAGTAGAGCAAGTGTTTTTTTTTTTTTTCACCTTAGTCAAAGTACCTACTACGTTCATGTAACATTAATTGAGACAAAAAAATATTGAAATCATGACCCAATCTCAATGAATTCATGATTCGAGTTTTATGGATTATCTCATATGTTCTGAACTCAGAAGACTCTCCTAATCTTGGATCTAATGAAAAAGAATCGACATAATACTCTTGTCCATTGATTTTTTGGTAGTCCAATGACACTGTATATGAAGTCAACTGACAAATATGAGAAGAAGCTCGACAGATAGAATCGTAGACTTTATTGGCCAATATCTCACGATTTTTTCCATCTTTTTTATGATTCTAATTCTGATTTAAATTGAACTAAGCAGTGCATGAATAGGAGTTAAAAATGAAGTAAAATGAGATAATTCAAAATCGGAAGAGGGTAGGGTAGGGTGAGAGGAGAGGAAGTGACGGGGCCGGCTGGTTATATGTGTAAGAGTGAAGTAGAGTAAATTGGTTGAGAGTATTATCCTGAATTTGTTCCAACTCCAGGCATATCCAGAATGGGTTTGATGTCAGTCCTGGAATGGTGGATGGTGTACCAGCCAAGCATCCTGAACTTCACATGGAACCCTCCTCACACACCCTTCTCCTCCCCTCTCTTCCTCTCTCTCTCCATCCTTACCTACCTCTCCCTCACTCTCCTCCTCGCCCACCTCCCTCTCCCACCCTTCCCTCCCCGCCTCCTCAAGCCCATCACTGCCCTCCACAACCTCACCCTCCTCCTCCTCTCCCTCCTCATGGCCCTGGGCTCTGCCCTCACCCTCCTCACACACACCCCCGACCTCCGCTCCGCCATCTGCTTCCCACCCGCCACACCCCCCACCGGCCCCCTCTTCTTCTGGGCCTACATCTTCTACCTCTCCAAAATCCTCGAATTCCTTGACACCCTCTTCATCATCCTCTCCCGCTCAACCCGACGCCTCTCTTTCCTCCACGTTTACCACCACTCCACCGTCCTCCTCATGTCCTACCTCTGGCTTCAAACCTCCCAGTCCCTCTTCCCCATCGCTCTCCTCACCAACGCCTCCGTCCACCTCATCATGTACTCCTACTACTTCCTCACCGCCCTCTCCTTCCGCCCCTCCTGGAAGCGCGCCGTCACCGACTGCCAGATTCTCCAGTTCCTCTTCAGCTTCGCAATTTCTGGCCTCATGCTCCACTACCACTTCTCCGGCTCTGGATGCTCCGGAATTTGGGGCTGGTGCTTCAATGCCCTTTTCAACGCCTCTCTTTTAGCCCTTTTCCTTGATTTTCATCTCAAGAGTTATGCTAACAGGAGGAACACCACCACCAAACGCACTCTTAACAAGGACTCCTGATCACTCCCCTCCTTTCTCGTCGCTACATCATCTTCAGTAAGACACAATATTATTTTTTCTTCGAATTCAATGATTCTGCTACATGTTTCATTTTCTTTCTTTTGCCTTACAATTCAACTGAAATGAGTTTTTTATCTACTTTAAACATCATGTATTATTGTTACAGTAACAGTTTATGCTCTCCATATCATACTAGTAATATGTTTCATTTTCCTCCATGCTTTCAACATCCAAATTGAGGTTTTCCTTGAGTGTCGGAACCTTTGGGCACCACCTTTGTCAAAAATCTTGACAAAACTAGCCCTCTTGGAAAGGGGAAACTTTCTGTTTGAACACAAATCTTCAAAATTTGTGTATGTATGGTGTTTCTTAAAAATCTATTTTTGAATATATAAGTTTTGATGCATATTGTCATCACTTTGTTTCATCCCTTAATTACATTATCAGCTTCTTCTTCTTCTTTTTTTAATTTAAAATTTACAGTCAAATTAGTTTTGAATATTAAATTAAAAATTATTTTAGTCTTTTAAATTGAAATAAATACAATATTAGTCTCTTAATTTTACTGTTTAAAGAATAATAACAGTTAAAAAAATAATTTCATACAGTGTCTAAATATTAAAAAAATAACTTTTCAAATTTGAATCTAATATATATGTAAAATAATTTAAAAGACCCAAATCAGACACATCCTTAAACTTCATAGATTAAAAACATCGATAATTCTTATTATTTTCACCTCACAGTTTGCAGGAAGTTATGCTACTATTTTTGGACGATATTATTTGGATATTGGTTGTTTAATCATGCTTATACGATGTTAATGTGTGAATGTATTATTTTGCTTTTATATTTGGCGGTTTAGACTTAAACAATTTATTACTCAGTTGAAAATTAAATGTTAAAATAAAAAATAGAAAGTACATAACAAATAAAACTAATATTACCTTAAACTTTGAACATAAAAAAACAAAAATCTTCGAAAATAAAATAGCATAAGTAACATATTTCTTAGTTAACCAGAATTAAGTTTATTGTGCAAAAAATCACAAAAAAAAAAGTAAAAGAAATTAATACAATTTGAAAAATGAACAAAATTATATATAAGGCACACCTTTCCAGATTTTTAAAAAATGGAGTATAGTTAGGAGAATTGTTGATAATTAATATCTGAGATATACCACTTGAGCCCATCAACAAAAGGCCCTATGAAAAGCCTGTTGGGCAAATCCAAAACCCTGACTTTTTCTTTTAAATAATATAAATTTAATAATTACTTACTTAAATATCACAAATAAATATGGTATTATTTACCTCAATGTTACATTTTCATAAATCAGTTGAATAACAATCAAATTTTTTTTTTAATAACAAATTCCTCCCACAATCCGGATTAGAAATTTTAGCTCATTCAGTTAGTGAACAAATTTATTAATATTTTTATATATATTTTTAAAAAATATATCTTTAAATTTTTATTTATTTATTAATATTTTTATTAGATAAATCAAAAAAATTATCATATTTATATATTAAAAATATTTAATTATAATTTATAATTTAATTTAATTAATTAATTTTATAATTTGAATTATAATATTATAATATATATATATATATACATATATATATATATATATTTTAATAATATAATATAATATAAAAATATAATATTTTAATTTAAATATTTTTTAAAAATAAGTCATACCGATCAATTTATCTCACCCGTATTAGTAGGCTAGGCAGACAGTACAAATTAAAATAAACTAAAAGATTAAAATTACAAATCTAACCCACCAAAATTTGTGAGGCAGGTTGAATAGGTTGGCCGCAAACATGCTCATTTTGTCATGAGTTTTATTTTTTTATTTTTTAAAATAAATTTAAGAACGTTATGTAAAAAATTGTAAGTAATTGATTTTACGTGCTTATTTAAGTAAGTTTATAAACTTAAATAGTTAATTAACCATTTATATTTGTTAATATTTGAATGAAATATTTAATTATTTTTTTACGAGATTTAAATATTTAGTAATATTATTTTTGGTTAGGATGTTGTTAATTAATTAAAATTGGTAATTATATATATATATATATATATATATATTTAAATTGTTTAAAAAAATGGGTTGTTGAAAATCCGATTTCGAAGCAACTTTTTTTTACATTTTAATTTAGTAAGAAATCTAAATAATTAGAATTAATTAAAATAGTTTCTAAGAGAGTTGTTCTACTATAGAAGAGAATGTATGAAGATTCCCAAAATCTTCTTCTACCCGAAACCCAGCGCAGAGAGAGCAAGAGAGAAACCCTAGCTAAGCAACAATGCCGGCTGGTCACGGTTTGAGATCTCGCACCAGGGATTCCTTCTCTCGTCCCTTCAGGAAGAAGGGTACCATCGCCCTCACCACTTACCTCAGAACTTACCGCATCGGCGATTATGTTGACGTCAAGGTTAACGGCGCTGTGCATAAAGGGATGCCTCACAAATTCTACCATGGCCGCACCGGTCGCGTCTGGAACGTTACCAAACGCGCCATTGGTGTCGAGGTTAACAAACAGGTAGTATCGGTTTTATCTATACTCAAACATATAGTTCATTTTAGTTTGAAGCTTCATAGGCATGTTCTTTAATCAATAATTCGTGCCTTCAGCGTATTATTATCACTTTATGTATTCTAGTGATGCATCATTGATTAGATTTCTTCCTAGGTAACTAATTTTAGTTTCTAGGGTTTTTGTTCAAACTCGTGTAATTGGGGATTTCGTGTTAATTAAATACTGTGTGATGTGCAGGTGGGGAACCGAATTATTAGGAAGAGGATTCATGTTCGTGTCGAGCACGTGATGCCTTCAAGGTGCACCGAGGAGTTCCGTTTGAGGAAGATCAAGAATGATCAACTCAAGGCGGATGCCAAGGCAAAGGGTGAGAAAATCAGCACCAAGAGGCAACCTGAGGGTCCAAAACCAGGTTTCATGGTGGAAGGAGCAACATTGGAGACTGTCACACCCATTCCTTATGACGTTGTCAATGACCTTAAAGGGGGATATTAGGTTTTTTGGCTCAGTTTGTTTGTTTGCCCAGTTGTCTTTTTGGTTTTAGTTTACCTGTTGTAAGGCTACTTGTCAACAATTTTGTGTGGGTAACTCTCCAAATACAATTATATGGTCTATTTACTTGATTCGTTTTTTATCGTGCTTTACTTTATTATCTGTAGGGTGATTTGCATGTGGCCTGTGATGTAGAAGGTGGGAATAGTATTCTAAGTGATATAGTGTGGGGGAATTAATGGTTATTAATTAGGAAAGACATGGCAGAATCTCTTGATCTTCCCTGCTATAACAATTCTGCATTCAACTTTATTCTGTCCTGGAATCTGTTTCTGTCCTAATATTTAGAAGCCTTCTGATATTCGTATTTGTTATTTAGATAAAGGAAAGTTCATATAACCTCCATAGTGATTATCAGGGATTTCATTTTTATATAATTTGAAGGTAATTATGATAGTATTAAAGTCTTACTAGGATATCTATTTTTTTATATATATAATAACTAAGTTACAGCATCTTTAGCTGGGCTCTGTATACAATTTAAAAAAAAAAAACTATCTTATAAACTTGTAATTGCACGCATTAAAACCTCTTATTGTACTCCAGCTGCTTGTTATATGTTTAAAATAACCTTTGAAAGATCAATTTGATAAATGAATTTATGTACCTCTGTCATAATGTTCCTTTGTTTTCTTTGTCTGGGTGTCGGGTGTACCACAAAACCTGTATGGTGAGACAATAGTTAGGCATCAAGAGCTGCCACCAAATGAATTCACACTTTAATTGCTGTGGAGCATTTATTACAACCTTAGTTTTCTACGAAATAGTAAATTTACTAGTATGCAGTTTCAAGAGTTAGTAAGGTATAACACAAGTACTGAATTCCGTTTTCTTTTTGAAGTATTATAGTGCTCTGTGTTCAGACTTGATATAATTATTTATTTTTAAAAGCCAAAGCACATAACTATCATTTTCTATCCCCAAAACCTAAATAATAAGTTGAGAAATAAAACAACTTCAAAAATTAGGTGACCATATCCAAAAGTCTCCAAACATATCATTACAAAGTTGCTAAGCTACGCACAAAAGTCGTGATTGTTTGCTTCGGAACATTTGCAAAAGTTAAAACTGCAGGGAATATCTATCTTTCTAAAAATAAGTAGTTAAACCTATATTTTGTGGATTTGTAAAAAAGATTAGAAGAAACTGGCAGAAAAATGGACTTTGGTAATTGATGGATCTATGATGAGAATCTTTGTAGAACTACACTACAAAATCTAACAAACTCTTTGAATAGTCCTTAAAACTAAAATGGCAACTTTTATTCACTGAGGAGCAGAAGGCTCTGGTTGTGTACTTGCAAGAGCTTTGGGTCAGTTCTCGTGAATGGAATGACATTCATACACTGGTTTCTGGTTTGGTGTCTTGTTAGTGTACAAAAAGATGAAGAAAACTCGTTCAAACTGGTCTTTTCTATTTTTCATTACAAAAATAAAAGTACATATTTAAATATTTCACATAAGTAATAATTGTTTTGCCAACTATTATTAATTTTTATCCTATACAACATAATTTAATCATTTATATTAATGATCAAATTTTTGAAACATGGTTCTTTTTCATAATTTTATAACTTAAAATCTTGTAAAATATTAGAAAAGTATAACTTTAATCTCGACCAATTGGATTACGACTCCATACAATTTCTTAGATTTAAAATAATATGATTTTTAACTTTTTAATAATCATTAAAAAATAAAAAACATTTAAAATATTTTGCAAAATTTGTAATTTTATCATTTACTTCTTTAGAAGTGAGATTTTTTCTCTCTACCCAACCTCTTGACTTTCTTTGTTATCTCTATTCTAAAATTTAATCTCGTTTGAATTAAAAGATTGGTTGCATCTTCATGCACCCAATAATTTCCTCAAGCACCTTATGACATATG